GACATTAGGAAAACGTTAGGTACATGATTTGAAAACAATGCAATCCGTGGAATAAGACATACACTTACAACCCTATTAGATTTAATGGAAGAATATAACATTTTTTCCAAAGTTAAACTAAATATATTGAATATTAACTAAAAGCGAAATGCTATGTCGAATCATATCTCGGAATAAAAGAAGCAAGGTTTCTTTGATTAATCAATACACCACATTTTAAATTGAAAACTTTTCTTGTTAAATGGTCTAATTACTTCACTTTCCCAAATTTCAACATTCAAACAAAGGTTTACTGTGTCACAGAAATGTCCTTCAAAAGCTAAAGAGTAAACAAAGTTTGACAATTTGTCCAATCTGGATATATGTCCCATTCTGACAAATTCTGTACAACTACTGATCACAACCATTGAGCTTCCCTCTCAGCTGTCCTCTCTGTGTCGGATCTGATGCCGTTATATTCAGAGATGACAATAAGGAATTCCTTGCTTTCGATGTCTGACCTTGTTCTCAATTAAGTACGGTATTGCACCCATTCCATTTGGGGCAGTTTCTGAGTCCGTTTTGAAAAGGCAAACCCTCTGCATCGGCCCACGGCCACTATGACTCTGTGTTACACCACTTTTAGGTACATGTATAACATAGACTCCAGAGCTCTGATCTCTTTGGCAGTTCTGTAGGTCTAGGTCCTTGGCATTCCTAGTGATGTCTGTATGTTCCTGTATGAGTCTTCCAGCAATACTGGAAATAGCCTGCAGAGCAATCTGATGACTGATCGGATATTTTTCATTCCCAATAAGTGCTGGTGGTAGACATAGTAGAGTTGACTAGTTTGAGAGGCACTTTGGAGAGAGGTGTGGGTTATGCTTCATTTAAGAAAAGTTTTCAAACAGCCTAATCTTAGTTATCCAGTCCGACAGTACATATAGACGAATGCACGAGAACAGGGAAATGAATGTTGTAGTGGTTGTAAACTAAGTTTACGGATTGTCAGGAAAACAGTACTTCTTAACAGAACTTTTCTTAACCCCAGATTCATGGGGTTTTTTTACATTTCTGTAATTAAAATATGAGATATGACATGTATGATGAAAACTACAGGCACGATGTGGCATTATTTTCTGGACTCTATAATAACTCAAAGTACGACTATCACACCAGTCCACATAAGTAACAAGACGTGAATACCCAGCCACTCACAAAACGTGTACACAAGGTAACAAAGCGTACAAAGTAAGGCTGAAATATACTTTAAGTTCCACTTATTAAAATCACTAAATAGATACATGTGCATTCAGCATGTTGTTAATTATGAAACTACTCATCAAAAACAACCTTGAAAACAACCGTCACAACACTGACACTAATGTTATTCAGTGCTAGCTGTGACGTTTAAACTTATTACCTGAGTGCTCAGCCGTATAAGAAAGCCTGATAAAACTGGTATCAATTCAACTTTGAGTGCAAAATACAGCACCTAAATTTACAATTATAATCCTCTTAATGATATGTGTTGCTTATCAAATCACCTTCGTCACACTATGGCTACAAATTTATTGTAAGATCTTCGAAAACTTCCACGAAACGTCATCAGTGAAGACATAATTTTCAGCATGCACGTGTACATTGTTTACATGTGTGTACACCCAGACCTATTTAAAATTTGCTAACACACAATGCCCGAACGGCACCAGACCGATCAATTTTTCCACTCTGTCAAATGATGATTTTTTTCTTCACATAATAAAACATTTTTTTTTTCAATTTTTTCAACAATAACATAAAAATAGTGTGTTTTAAATTTTTATTTGTGTAACTTATGGTTTTGTATATAAAAATTTTTAACAAAATTTCAATTTTGTAAATGCATGTTTCAAGAAGCTCCACTAATAGTTGCAAAAAAGTTTCACATGTCTTAGATTTACGATCTAAAAAGTCGAAGGAAATGTTTACTTATATCTCGAAATGCCCATACGTCATCAACGGTCATCAGGCAGATTCTGGTTGTCTGTGGTCTACAGAATAGAAATCTGTCAAAACATATTATATATATACAAATATTCCAAAACACGGTTCAAGAAAAAACTGGCATTTGGCTGCTGGACTATTTCCCACAATGGGACGTTATTATACAGTTAAAGTAGAAAAACATTGAATTTAATTGAGCCCAAAACTTCAAAATCAGAAGGTAAAGATCAGCCAGAGCGACGTTCGAAGGCTGAAGCCGAGATCTTGAAAACCACGCTGACCCGCGATTCAATTCGCGCGAGATTGGTGTATGATGCCCCGACGTATCGCACAGTGCTCTGTTGTGCAAGCTTAAAGGGAGCCCTGCTGATTTCTGTCGACTTCATGCGCTTGGGACGAAAGAAATTTCCAAAAAAAGGGGGGGGGGTTAAAATCATACTTTTAAATAGGTCTGAGGGGTCGGTCTGAGGGGTGGGAAAGTTAAACGTTATAAGTATCCATTCGGTCATGACAATAATTTGAAGAGTTACAACCAACATTATAAACAGTTACAATACTCGGAGGGGCCCAGTGTGGCCATTCACAAACGTGTCAAGATAGCACATATTGAACCAAAATCTGCCGTTCAGTGAACTGCAGATGTGCATTATATTCAACACGCACCAACACCCATGTGCAGAACTTCAATAGGGGATGGCGAGTTCATTTATAATTGATAGCATTATTGACGGCATTAGATCAATTACCGCATGAAAAGCCGACTTGATCCGTTGAAATAACAAACTGTGTTACCACTAGAAGTGCTTTTGACCGCAATCAACGGCCGTGTGAATGCAATGGTGCGACAGCCCACATTATATAGACTTGCAAATGTTTGCAAGTAATTTTGCGAAAGTTTGTAACGTTCTTGTAAAATGTCTACCTGGAAGTATGAAAAGGCTTTGGAGCATACATCGGCTCACGTACCCTACTTGTGGTCATTCACTGGAGAGTGAAAGAAGTGTAAGATGTCAAAATCGATAAAAGCGATACGTTTATAGAGCCACTTCAAGTTTCCTTGTTACAAGCACGACAATCACCTCTGTGTGGAAGCAAACCTACTAAGACCCGTAATTGTGCTTTTGTATCACTGGGCCTACAGTTTTGCGGTTAAAATGCAACCAAGAGTACAAAACAGTGGTGCGTGTTTATTACGTATCTCACAGAAACATATTATTTACCGTACTTATCGTGATTTCTTCTTGCTTCATGTTGAGTTGCAGTGTGTCATAAATAAAAAGCAAGCGTGTTATTACGGAGTTCTATGTCGTTAATAGTTACACATTATTAGTTAAATTTTGATACTATTTTCGCCATTATTTTTTTACGAGTCAAAATTCTTTGGTTTGGTTAAGGCCTTGTTAACGATTACGAAGAATAATTTTCTCAGTACAGATGTAAAGATTTCCAAAAGATAGTTAACACTTGCTAATACCATCACAAGTTATTGCCAGCCTGTTGTACGATTATTAGACTTTTCGAACAAGATTAATTATATCCGTAACCAAGTATACTTATAATCTTTTTATATTTCTTATTCTCTTAGCGTGGTAAAATTTCCGACAGTTACTCTAATTGTCAGGGAAAACCAGAATGTACGTCTGGGCTCTGCAGAATGCAGAGCCGATGCCACGTGTCATCTTGTTTCAATCAAGTTAAAACCCGTCGTGTCTTCAAGACTTTCCCCTTGCAAATAGCGAAGGTATGAATTGAATTATATGCCCACTATATGGCAACTACACGGGGCAAAAGGCTGGGCCAATGTACGCTCAGCGGGTGGAATGCTCTAGAGTTGACATATGTTGGTGGATTTCATGGCTTGATTCAGAATTATATTTAGCCGTGCCTTTCATAGCTAGCATGGCTATCAGTGTAATAGTAATGATGTGGCTGTCTGTGGAGGTATATAGTCCGAGTATTCCGTATTCAAATGGCATTTAACAACAGGCAAAGGATCCACTCAACGACAAAATGTGCCACTTCTATTCAGCTAAATCTTACGGCCACTGATCATGCTTCAGCTTTTCTCATTGAATATATAGCTGGAAACGATCCATTTAACTCCACGTTTCTATAAACGCAGCGTCCTGGAAAAAAGCGTCTGGAATTGTGGTCTTCTTGGCCTTGAAACAGCCGTTGTTAGCAGACTTGGTGACATTCTCTTAATATAAGGATCATTGCAGGATCAAGCTCTTCTTATCAGCACGTGCCTTCTCTCGCATCACTGGATCGATTTAAGTTGATTTCTCTGGGCAGACCATACAAATGCTCGTGCTTTCTCCTTGTCAGCGATTCTTTCGAATGACTTCTTCAACAAAAGTCGTCCAAAGAGACAAGGGTTTAAAATATACCGTTATGGGACCAGTGGGCAACCAGTGACCTTCTTGTCGGATAGTAAATGTGCGCATGTGTGCAATTTGACATCACGGGTTTCCCGATGCAGCAGCAATCATTCAGTATTACGTAGAGTACATGGGAGGAACTTTAGTAAAGCAATGTGGGTTCATGCGTCTCCTAATATGTACAGGATGTACTTCGATGACACTAAAGAGAATATGCTGACCGGAAGCATAATGGAAATAAATAGACGGATTTTCGAGGATGTGAGTACGATCGTGTGTATTTCATATAATGTAGTTACACTCTCTGCAAGCAAAACTTTAACGCCTCGTGACGGTGTGCAGCGCGTTAATGATGTAAATAATTGCAATGACATTTAGTGTGTGACTTGATACGCCACGGTAGTGCTCTCCTGTCGAGAGTGCATTCACTCACGGCTTCCGATAAGAGGCAGTCAAGTGGCAAAAGAGGAACCCACCAAGAAAAAAGAACAATTGAGGCGATTTATCCAAAGGAGAGAACGAGATCGGGTGCTTTACCTGGCTGGTCAGCAATGATAGACTCCAGTGCCATGAAGAGAAAGACAAGCAATCCCTAATGAATCACCTTGGTTCTTTGGTAAAAATAGATAAGTAATTGTGTACACATCGGGGGAGATGGCCCACTCTGAGCAGTCCATTGTCGAGATGGGAATTAAAAAAGATTTGGATTACATCATAGACGATCTTAAAACGAATCCCCAGGGCGAGAGGAAGACCCAAAAAACAGTACGTGGAGTGACCAGCACATCAGTAATACGGCACAATGTTGGTAGTGTTGGAGGAGGTCAGTCAACGACAAGAAAGAGCAGAAACCCATGCCGACTCAATGCCAAGGAACTTAACTCCCTGGAAAGCAAAGCAACTGCAGCTTTACATGTCATCCGACAAGCTTCAATCTCCATGGAGCAACTCCAGAAATCCCGCATGCCGTCTCACCCATCAGATTCACCCATGACTGTGTCTTCTTTGTCCCCAAATCCGAAACGTAATGTCTTGAGAGATTTTTCCCCCTCCGCTGCAGACTCAGCATCGTCACCAACATTGTCGAGAAAGAAGAAGCACTGCCACAGTATAGCAGAGAAACGGATAAGCAAGAAGGGAAAGAAATCGAAGTCCAACCATGAGGACAGGTATATTTTCAAAGAAGATGAGGACTGGATACAAGGAATAGAGGTCCGACGAGCAAGCCCACATCGTGCCCTCGTGTCCTCTGTCAGCGAATCTGTGAGCCCAGACTTTGGACGACGAAGGAGCAGGCACATCGATGATCTTCTGAGCAGTAACTCACCCCTGGAAACTCAAAAAGTTACCTCCAAACTAAAGTCAAAAAGTCTGAAATCAAAGAGGACCCTTGACAGAGTTACCTTAAAACCAAGATCTGGACTTGAAAAGTCGCCAACGGAATCGGACCCGGAAAGCAACATGAAAGCCAATTCGGCAGAAAAATCCGAGAAAGAACTCCAACAGCTCGATGCAAAACTAGACATCACCGTGCAAAAATCAGCAGAACCAACGTGTAACAACTCAAGAGGTACTCGGACAACCTTGGATAACGAGGATAGTGCCAGTGGTGAAAACAAAATCATTACTTGTACTTTAGACTTCTTAGTCTCCCAGAAAGAGGTTGAAGACTTGAGGAAGGAAAATGAATCTCTGAAGAAACAGCTAGAAGAAGCTGCCGACTGGGAAATGCAGGTGATGAGAGCATACAAGACACTAGCAGAAAAGCACCACCATGCAAGTAGAAGTGAGGAGGCACTAGTTGGGAATCACATCATTCAAGGTCAGTTGCAAGTTGATGTAGTGCGGCTTACCATTTTTTAATAATCGGTTTACACAGGAGCGGTTTATAATCATAAAGTCAACTAGTACTTTTTGTGATTCAAACTCGTTACACAATCTTTCTCTTTTTAATAGAAACTGTCATAGTACTTCGATCTACACAAATTTGTGCTTATTTTTCACACGGTCCTGCTCATCTGTCATAATGTCGATTACATCTGTTTAAAAGATCTCAGATTTTATAACTCATTACACATCTCCAAATGAATGTGGGGGTTATTAAATGATTTGAACTGACACACGACTCAAGTTTCTCATTTAAACAAAAACAAAGGACAAACACCCCAATACCCCAACAAATAAACAAACATCTAAATTGTCATTTGTCTCTACTTCCGAACATTTCTTCGAAAATAATGTGCTCGTGTCACATGTCTGAAATTTAAGCGTGAGAATGATGCTTCATGCACTATTTTTTGTATACACGGAGATATTCAGTCATACATTTATCCATTGTAACTAAAGGTCACAAAAATAAATTAGACACGGTTGCTTTCGCGTGGCATCTGAATGCAAAGCAGTATCCAAACCCTCCACGCGCATGTAATATAAAACTTGTATTTAGGTTCCTGCGTGACTATCTTGTCTATATGGCTGAACAATGCCGGCAGTTTCATAAACCTCTCTGGGAAATGTTTCTAACAGGGCAACCTTTCATGTGGTGATGTCACTAACCGGTGTGTTGTGCTTGGTTTACGCCTCTTTACATCTATCTCTTCAGTTAGTGACCGAGGAAGTAAGTTAAATGACTTTGCATCCAGAAATCAAAGTGTTGTTAGTGTAAAAGAGGAACGTGGTTTCTCATTCAGTTGAATTCCGTTGTAGTTGAAGAAAGTTTTCACACCTTTCATCAGCTGGTAATTTGATATGTGATGACGTTACAGCAAGTCATTTAATATGCGTACCCAGCAATCAAGGTTTATTTTGGTACCAGATGTAATCATGCTTGTGATTTGTATCAAAAAACGTTTGGAAGATATTGGGCTCGTGTTATGAAGCTTTTAAATTGCGTTTAAAATTTAGAATACTTCATAGGTAAACAAGTAGCCTCACTCAGGATCCCTTATATCCCTATATACATGTTATACTTCCATTAGATCATGAGATTCAGCTGGAGCCTGGAAGGGGTATTTTGGTGCAGTTCTGGTTTTTATGCTAATGTAATTGCATTCATGAGCAACATTCTGAGATGACATTCTGAGCAGAAACCCCCAATTTTGCAGCCATTCGACCACAGAAAGATGCCAGAATTTGGGACATTTGAAACTGGCACACTTTTTCCTTTGTTAATCAGTTGAGGGTACATGGCTGTAAGCTAATGATTTCAGCGAGCAAACTTGTGATTCAAAATTGGAACTGAAATTTCTCCAGTATGGCCGATGTCTTCAAGCATGCTTCAAGGAATGACATCACAGCATGTGCATCCTGTTTTTATAAAGGGAAAAAATCATGCTAATGATCCATAAAATTGGCCCTGACCATTTACAAACACGACTTTCAAACTCACAAACACGACGTTTGCGTGTCCACTTCAGAACACCATACATTTCCTTTGGTAGTACTCCAAGCCATGACCAAGTTCAACGGTAAACTATGTACAGTACGTACAATATACATGTACATTGAACATCGGTAGGCCCTACGTGTTTTTACAAATGCAAAGGTTGACTCCAAGAACACTAACAATGTAATTTATACTACCTATGATGGAAGGGGGCATACTAAGAAACGGCGAGTCGTGCACACAGGAAACTTACGATGTTAAAATCTTTTTACAGAGCACTAAAAATTCCATTTAAATTAGAAACTAATAGCAAAAACGATTTAATGAGATTTTCTGAGGAAAAAAAAACGAACAATGCCAGAAAACCTGAGAAAAAAGGATCATCAAAGTCGCACCCCTGTAAATGTTTAATGGTCCGCTCCCACTTTTTGCCGCCAAGGCATTTGTGCGCATGGGTGCATAATTATGAATTTATTAGTAAAGAGGTCTATATCAGCTTATAGAAGCATAAAAAATTCAAATGTTAAGAGTGTCTGTATATTGGGTGTACTGTTTAAAATACACTTTTCAGTACACAGAATCCCAAAGGGATGTAAAATTGGGCAAAGTGGAAAGTTGTTCAAAATTCCAAGAAAATATATTACATAACACCTATCAGAGACGCGTATACAGAGAATTACAACATAAGCGTCACCGTTCTTGGAAACAAAGTGGCAGGTGTATACACCAATGCACGTGAACAGTTGGTATACATTAGAAACATTAGCCGCACTCTCCACTGTACACAGAATGAACAGCCATTTTATTTCCAAAATCTGAAGCGAGTACTACTCCCTCTGAGCACAGCTCTGGTCCAAGTTATCCTTTTAAAGTCTAAACATAACGTCTGGGCTTGCTTCTTCTCTCGCCATTTTTTTCTAAGCTCAACTTGAAATCTCAGTCGTTGAATGGCATTTATTTGAGTGCTTTGGGTATTATTCGGCTGTTAATGTTTGAGGTGAAAAAGAAGATTACATTTTGTGCTCTCTTCCCTTGCCGGATCACATTTATACACATGCATCATTTCATCCAAAACGGTAAAAGGAAAACAGATATAACACCTTAACACTGGATGCGCTGCATCCAGCTTTTGGTCTGTGTGTGTGGGGGGGGGAGGGGCAAACTCAAAAGCGAATGCGGCTTCAGCTCAGGCTCATTCAACATGATGTTGGGGGAGAACAAATATTAAAAGCCTTACTTGCGGTCCCAAAATCCTTGCTTTTATTTCATGGTGTTGGTTTCTTATTTTTTATTTTTTATATTTTTTGGCTAATATTTGATAAATAAATATACCGATTACTTTATTACCTGTGAAGTATTCTTTGTATAAAAAATGGCGTGGGAGGTTAAGTTCCGCGGTCCCTTGCCACTGCCGAAAGTTGATGACGTTAATATCTCAGGTTCAATTTCGTCTTTGGTCCCTTATTTTTTACACACTGTTCCAACAATTTCGTATATTCACCATTCTGTTTCGTTAAATTAAACCAATTCGATTTCGTCGTCCACATTTTTTGAACGCATATACAATTTATGAAACAACATGTCGTTTTTAAATCAATGGTTTTCTAAATTCCAGTTAAAGTAGTGACATGGTTGAATGCTATCTTCTGTATTTCGTAGTTTCATCTAATCATTTCTACTTTAAACATGTTACTTTATTTTCGTCTACAAATTAACCTTATATAAGCATGTCTGTAAGTAAATTTATATTTGTTTCTCTTTTTGTGTGTATCTATTCAGTTCTTCGACTATTTCATGTTTCAACAACTAGAAGAAGTACGGTCTATGCACATGCAAATGAAATATATACTTTCCATTTCTTGCAAGAAATAAGGAATCCTTTACATGTGGAAATGAACATTTATTTATATTCTCGAATCTTTCAGAAACAACCGATTAAGTTGTTCTTTTCCTTTGGATTTGTCGCCCAACTTTTGTCTTGCAACACGCCCTGCCAAATTCTTCTGTGCATGGTCGTACACTATCCAATAAATTTGAGCGAAACGTTCTGGACATCAATTGAACATAGACTTATTTCATTTTCCATTATGTAAATGATTATCACCTGAGGCAAATTCCACTGAAATCTGTCGACATCGTATGTACGTTGAAAAAAATTGGCCATTGATCACTCAGAATGAGCAGTAACTAAACTCATTGTGGCATTTGCACGTTTCAGTCTTCTTGATAGGAAATGAAGTTAACCGTTTATGAAATTGAACGAAAACGGTTTTATGAGGAAAAACCTATACATAGCCGAAACAATAAGGTTGGTTCACCCTCAGAGTTTTACTGCACCCGGATAAGTTGTAGGGTGGGCTATCCGACTTGACATGCCACATTTCCGTCATTTCTGTTCCCCAAGTACTGTTTTGTCACTAGACGACATGCTTATATATGTATAATGCTGACATTGAACAACCTTTAAGAGGTGGCTTTTAAGGGATGATCACCCCTAAAAACAATCCTGCAGCCCCTTGCCATTTCGAAGATGAATGCTTACATTCCACTGGCAAAAGGAGGGCTCCAAACAATTTCTAAAAAAATACCTTCCGGCAGTGGTAACTGGTATCTGGTAACTTCTGCCCTCCGTGCAAATCGTGATTGACACAAAGGCTACTAAGACCTCTTTACTGGCCTGCCGCCATAACTCATCTCGTAGCTGCAAGACTACGGTACATGTTTCACGAGATGATGTTGCGAGCGTTGGTTCGCGGTATTCCCCACCACGACTTATCTTTGCTTGAAGGAGACGGAACGCTTGGCACAAGTGTTGACGCGCATATGGAAAGGTGCCTTTAATTTATTGAAGAACATAAGAAATTGCATTAGTGAAAAATATGCTTTAGTTTCAGAATTTATTATGGCATGGGAGAATGCCCAAGCTAGACTGCGCATAAAAAAAACACAAATTAAACTATCTGTGGGGCGAATTGCTTTTTTTACCTCGAAAAAGAGAATGATCGCAAGGATCTTTGTTGAAATTCTGATATGTTGAGCTAGAAGGACAATATTTAAACTTCTTTCTGCTTTCGATTCCTTCAAGAGCAGCTTCTTGGGTAGCTAAGATTCTCTTCGTTTCTTTTTTGATCCTTCCCTATCTTTTCCAACTGTTGCACGGTGGCTCAGCTTGACTTGCTGCAGTCAGCGATCTTGATCACTTTCTTTCTTTCTGCTACCAGGTTCTCTGCTTCTTGGAGAGCTTGTTTCGCAGCTTGTATCACCTCTCTCGAGGGCTGTCTTGATTCTTTCTTTTGGTATTTCTATCTTCCCGCGAGATTTCAAACTGTGCCGTATTTTCGGGCTTTATCAGTTCCTTTGCTTCCAACTTGTTCTTTAGTGCTCTTTGATGCAAGATCCTTGTGTATCTTTGTTGAAAGTCGCTTTACTGTTGAATT